AAACGGAAATTCCAAGAATTATGGACTGCGCATATGTATCAAATGCAAAACATTTTTCTTTAAAATCTTGTAAGGCAAAATTAAGGTTTAAATGCGAGATCGCTCTGGATTGATCTCGTCTCAACACGAACGCAAAACCTAAATACAGACGCAAAAAACAGCTCGCTAAAGCTCACGATCTTCTGTCGTACATCCTCAAACGCCAAAAATCCAAATGCAATGTGGGCTTCAAAGACATCTGAACTTCTACTCTCTCTCAACCTCTCTTAAAATGTGAGTAATGCATTGATCTAATTTAGATAGCGTAGACGTCCATATATGAGCTACAACAGAAACCCTAAGAAGAAATAAAGGTCGGACTTCCAATAGGCCTAGAATTCCTATGTTCAACCCAGAACAAATATCTTACAATTCATTAATAATAAGTTAGTTCACTAAAAACTTATTATTGATCTCCTAAACTTTATCTCAAAATTATGTTTCGAGCTCCTTATTATTATTTGTTTAATAATCTCTCCACATTTAAGATTACAGATGTTCATCAATTAAATAAATTACTGACTATTATATTTAATTGACTTCTTTTATTCCACGAGATCTTATCACTCAACTTATTTGTTATATCGGATAATTAAATCCACCTGCAAGGTTTGACATGAACAAAATTTATGAACTTCCTCAAGAGGATATCATCAGCTCATTTAAATACTAGGGCATTGTTTCTTTTAATAATTAATTTTCACCATACAAATAATATTGTTTCCAAATTCACCAAGCTTATTAACTCAATATAAATCTCACTCTTTGATAAATTAAAGTGATAATTATTATATGCATGTGACAATTAAATATCTCAGTATTAAGAACATAAGCTATCATAATAATCATGAGATATTTATTATCTTATTGAATTAGTAAAATATAATAACATCAACATAAGTTTGTTCACTATACAAAGTGTACTAGTGCAATAATCCGAGACATCAAACAGTCTCTTATAGTCAAAACAAATTATGTCAGAATATTACACTACAATCATACTGATGGTATGTCTAAGTCCATCTAAGATTATGAACTTATATTCATATTATACAAGAATCTAATAATCTGATCTTTCATATATAAGATAAACTCTACACACCAAATTATTTACAATGTAAAATATAAGACACACGTGCATACCATAATGCAAATATTTTGCACACATAGATTTTCAATAAAATGAAAAAACAAACAACTCTTATTAATTAACAAAACAAGTTTCATTACAAAAAGTAAGTTTTTAGTATACAACTCTATCAACAATATTATCTCCAATGCCCACACACACACACACACACACACACACACACACACACACACACACACACATATATATATATATATATATATATATTACTAAGGCAAAAAATAAAAACAAGAAAAAAAATCTGTAAAAGAAAAATCTATAACCCTTACTACTTGATAGTTTGAATGAATGAATCACATAAAGTGAGTCAATTGGATGTTTATAGTTATGAAGAGAGTACAAATAATTTAAGTATCATAAATATGAGATAATTAGCTATAACTCGTGTCTGAAGATACGATAAAACATAAGATTCAAGAGTTCAAAAAATTGATTTCACTATACTAAATAACAATTTTTTATTTCTTTGATTTTTTGATTACATTATTTAAAATTAATTTTTACCTATTATTTTTTTAAAAAAATAGAGTCAAAATTTTCTCAAAATACATAACTCGGTAAAAGTTTTTCATCACATGTACACTATCATGTAGGGACAACGTATGAAATAAAATTTGTGTTAAATTAAAATTTAATTAAATATTAAATAATTGTACATGTAATAGAATTGGGTGATGTAATTTTTTTAGAGAAAAAATATATAAGGGATAAAAATTCAATTTCCTTCATATCTTATTATATAAATGTACATTATCGTGCATGGATAATGTATGAAATAAAAATTATGTTAAATTATAAATTAATCAAATTTTAAATTATTGAACATGTAATAAAATTGAGTGATGTAATATTTTGCTTAGAAAAATTATATAAGGGATAAAAATTCAACTTTCTTCCTATCTTATTATATAAGTATCTAATTTAGCTACATAATTAAATATTTTTATGTGTTTTATGATATATTTCAACAAAAAAATTTATGTACAATGTGCATGTTGCATTGATAGTCAAAATAAAATCAACTAGATCATTTTGGATGTCCTCTGTCGTCATTAACTTGTGGAGTTTGGCTTCATGAACTAATTTTTAGTGTTAGTGAATTATTTTTTCCATATGAGAATAAAATAGTATATGTTACCGATACTCAAGAGATATATTAGACCATCTTCAATAAAAATTTAAATTCTTATCTAAATTTGAGGGGAAAAAAAGTTGACAAACTTGATTTAGTACAAACCTCTATAATTAGAAATTAAAATTTAAAGGAAGAGAAACTCAAATTTAAATTAGGACAAACTCAAATTTAAATGAGGGTGAAATATGATAATTAGATCTTTAAAACATGGTGAAATCTCACCATTAAAAATTTTGGATATAGATTTAAGTTCAAAAATAAATCTCTTTTGATTTGATATGAGTTTAGGTATATAATTGGAGAAAAAATTTAAGAGTTTTTTATTCAAATTTAAATTTAAATTAAAAAATTGTAACAATCGGATATTCACTAAGCCATGCGAAGGCCGGTCCTATCACACGGGTTAACTAGTTGAGGCTTCCACATGTGTATTTCAAAGGAAATTTGGAGGCCGGTCTCTTATATGGACTTGTTTGGACTTAAGTCCGTCAAGAAAACTTATTTGTTATAAAATTCGTTTTTTGAAAATTTTACCAGACTAACCCTTCCCTTCAAAAAAATTTTACCAGACTAACCCTTCCCTTTAGAAGTGAAGTAAAATTAAAAATTAAAAATTCATAAAAAATAGTAACATTCAAATACAAAAAAAGTTCTCATTTAAATACAAAAAATAATTACATTTAAACACAAAAAAATAGTAACATTATCATTTAAATACAAAAAAAAATAATAACATGTAAACATAAAAAAATAGTAACATTCAATATTGATATTTAAAAAAAATAACAATATTAACATGTTCAACAAAAATAATAACATACTTAACAAAAATAGTAACATGCACAATTAATAAAATAGCAATATAGAACATTGAACAAAATTAAAAATAAATATAGTAGTATTTAAACCGATAACTAGAGGAAGAAGCCTCAAAATAAAAAATAATAAAATGAAATTTAAAAAAATAGTAACATAATACGATAGTAATATATTTTAAAAAAAACAGCAACATATAATCGGTAAGAAATATCTCTGGGATTTCTTCCTATATATGGCACGAATAAGGAAGGTGAAAAGAGAGATCGGTGAAGAATGGAGGAAAAAAAGTTTACGAACAGAAAAGAGTAGAACTCAAGCGACGGTGTTAATTACAAACTTACAGTACACAGAGAGATCTGAGAAGAAACACGAATATATATAGAAAAATTTGAAGAGAGAGTGCATATACTAAATGATTAAAATATAGAATGAAGCAAGGTATCCAGTTAAGGGCTTGGACGGTTGGTGATGACTAGTCATTGGGTTTACGGAGTCTCTGCACTGTATGCTTTCCTCATTGTTCTATTGCTATGAAGAAATAGTGTCACGAATCAAAATAGAGTTTCAGATGAATTGTGGCTTTCCAGTGGTGGGTGTGGGACTTGAGGCGTTTGCTGCTAGGAGAGAGAGAGATTTGAATTTAAATTTCAAATTTATAATGGAGATTTTATTGGCATATTTTCACTGACATTGAATTAACAAATAATAATTTTAAAGATAGAAAATTAATTTAAACTGTTTTCAAGAAAATGTATTTTTGAGATTATAAAAAAAAGTAGACTAAACTCTTTACTAATAAGATTAAAAACGGACTTAGCTCCAAATAAGTTTTTTTAACAGACTCAAATCATTATAAGTCCGTTTAAGATGACTCAACTCTAATTTTCACTATTTTAAATTAATCTGACCCATTCGTACCCTTGCCAATATACTCAAGTTCAATTTCCTTGATTTTGGAAACTAGAGTACTTAGCTGCCACTGTATTCAGCAGCCTCAATTGGCTGAAAACATTTTGATCAGATTATATTGGGTTCCAACAAAAGTTAGACTTCAAGGTGAATCACAAATGTGACAGATTTTATCTTGACCGACTCAATTGAAGTACTAGTTTTTGTTCTATTAGATAACAAAGATCGTATTTTTTTCACTTCCGCTCAAATAAGAGTTGTACTCGTACTGAATTTTTTTGTTTCTCAATACGATATCTATCATCATCTCTATTTATTCCTATAAACAGATTTGACCACGATGTACATCGCCTTCACACAGAAGAGGGTGAAAACAGATGCGGATTATGTCAGTGCTTTGTATTTTTGATGAAAATAGAATGGTGTTCAAACTCCCGAAATGCAGTTTAGACAGCAGGCCCTCCCCTTTCACACTTTGGTAGTGTTCGGTCTCTAGGAATGGCAAGCAAAGAATCAAAACCTTGCCCAATGGAGCTGGATAATATCACCTGTTTCATACCATGGATTACAAATGCATAACCTTTAGCTATTCTTTTGTAAGCATAAAATTCTTTTGATATACAGTAAAAATTCACCCTTTGATCGAAAAAGAATATATATTTTTTCACTCTACATAGTATATCATCTTACATGCTTGCACTGTTCAACCTAAAACTTCATAATTGGTTGGAAAATCAGATGCAAACAACTCCTCGAAACAACTCTTACTTATGTATCATGTTTTGTACTAAAATGCAGTACATACAGTTGCATCTGATCGATTCCAGGAGTCATTTGAGAATCTTGTATGTTTCCTGTCAATTTTCCCCCCGAAAAAGTTTTAAATTCAGATGCTGCAAGTAAGTAAACTTCATGAGATAATATTTACCTGAATTCTCATCCTGATTCTCAAATGGTCTTCCACCCCAACTCAACATGAATAACCCCATTCTTTGAATCTATCAGATGGTATTTCTCATTAATGCGTCCATTGTGCACAACATCGGCAAGGTTAATTTCAACATGTCCCAATGACTCCTGGAAAATGTAAGACAACAAATCAAAATTAAAAACTTCAGTGTATGATTGGAAACTAAGATGGTGTGCGGGATGACGATATAAACCTTTGATCGGAAACCAATTCCTGTCCGCTTGCTCATTACTTTGATATGAATTTTCTCGCTCACTGGAGGCTCTTCAAGCATAAATTGGAACTCTTCATTCCAAATCGGGTCACGAGTTCTTCTTATCATCTGAAGAGACCACGTTGTATTACAGGTACTGAGTGTAAGCCATTGTAAATTTTTTTGTGACGAAATGTTTGTAAATTTGTCAGATGCAAATGGAATCAATAGAAAAACTTTGAGCATATGCAAATTATTTTGGATAATAATTAATCTTATGATTTGTATTCAAAAATACATACCAACTTATGAAAGTATAACATGTTATAGCCTTTGCAGCTTAATCCATTTTAACTTCAGGCCTAGTAAAGCTCAAGGAGAGTAGTTTAAAAAGTATTTGTAATGAAAGGACAGTAAAAATGAGCCAAAATTTTCTCAAAAGTAAAACTCACTTTTGATTTCTTCTTTTCTCCTTTAAATAGTATTAACGCGTATGGATTGTTGTGACGCTCCCCCTCTACACCCTCAGCTCCTTGGACAGTAACCATAAGTAAACCTGCTCCATCGGGGCTGTCACTGCCGGACGCACCATAATTTCCACTTTCCTTTCTTACAAATCCATCTAACGGCTCACTGAACCCATCATTATCATCTTTGAAAGGATCATATGTCAGTTCAAGCACAATCTGACCTCTGTGCTTCTTCTCTTGATGATCACTTATATCCGTGTTCTTAAGCAAATCGAGAGTAAGTTCCTTTGTCTCATGGGGTGTTAACACTTTCAAAGGAACTACTTGCGATCCCAACTTGTCATGTGCTCCAACCTGTGTATAACAGCACAAAGAAATGAAAACAGTAGTGTGATCTCTTCTGAACTCAACACTGAACTGGAAAATCTGTTGTAAGTTGGAAGTCATTTCGGGTATGCAAGAAGTCAATGTTCTAGGACTTGTGGCCGAATATATTTTTCCCTTTATGTTGAAAAGAAAATAATGCAGCAGCATTGAAGAATACATCACAATATTTTCAGATGACAATTGGGGAATTTTTCTTAAGCAAAGGAACGAAGGAATTTTCAAACACAATAAAGGTAAAACTCTGTGAAATTTTACATTTGCCAGATGTTCAAATCTTTATTTTCAATTGTGAAGCTGAATTAGACTTTTGTATAACCTAAACAATACTTTTGTCATATCTTAGAATCAATAACTATGTCGCCCCTAATCATGTGAATTATGAGAGTAAGGTTTTGAAAACACTTCTATTGAAGCCCTTGGCTTTTAGGCAGGGATCTCCTGGACATGTCCAGAAAACTGGTACATGTCTGCTTGTACTACCAAGCCCTTCAACAAAATTCATGTTGAGCATAATTAGGTTATATTCAGTCAAATAAATTGCACATGGGATTCAAGGGGCCATTTAGAACCCATGTTTTCTCAAATTTGGTTCTGAAATTCTCCGTTCATTCTTATAACGAATGGCTTTGTTGATAATTTTCAAGAAATATTGGCATCAATCAATGATAGCATAGGAGATTAAGGGACAAACCTTGTCCCAGTCATAGACATGAATATTTAACATCTGAGACTCGGGTTCTTTCACAATAAGCTTAAAATCCTCATTCCACTCAGGATTCAAGGTCTTCTTCTTGATGGTAGTTTTCTTTGATGGTAGCCTCTCTTGACTCAGACTGAGCTTAACATAAGGATCGGATAGTCCCAGAAAATCCATCTTCAATAGTTTCATTGCCCGTACTACTTTCACATGCAATATTCCCACGGGCTTCTTTACAGCCACCCTAGAAAAGGAGATATGGAAATGAACAACCAAAGGTGTAAAAGTAGATGTTGCAAGCATAAGAAAAGGAGTTAGTCAAAACTTAAATTATATGAAAATTTGCAAAAAAACATGGCTCGATGTAAAATCTCATGGAAGAAGACTTACGTTGAAGCATCAAGAATAGGGATTTCAAGAGAATGGGGCCAGAGGTATAGACTTGCAACTTGTTTTTTAATAGTCTCCTGCAAGAAACCATCTCACATAAACCAATATCATCCCAAAATGATCTTCATTTTAGGCAATAAAATTGAGCCTCACTTCTGTCCATTGACAAAAAAAAACTAATGTGGCACCTGAACAAATCGGTATAGGCCAGGTACTGACATGATGTCCCCACCCAGAACTCTCATTCCAAAGTCTACGTGTGGCTGCACAAAAGCAAGGATAAACATCAGGGAGAAATGAGCAGGTCCACTTTACATTAAAATAGGAAAGGTTTTAACTGCAGCCAAAACGTAATGCTTACCTTATCCATCAAAGATACAACTATTTTTGCAAAGCACGGAAAGGTAGACACAAGAGGTTTCAGAGATATTCTTGGTGCCGCAAATACTTGTAAATCCACCAACTGAGAAGAAACATAATCAATCCTCCAAAGAAAACCTTCTTTCTTAGGAACTTAAAACACATATTCTTCTGCTAAGGACTGTATCTTTAGGCTCTTCTGACCTGAATCGTAATTCGCAGAGACAACAATTTCAATGCCACAACTATATTTGAATTGCCAGCCCACTTGATTGATGGTTCCATGACTAGTTCTTTCTCATTTGTCTCATATGTTTTCAGACCTGCCAATTCGTAATATGAACATTAAAGCACAATGCATTTCGATATTGCATGGCGCATCCTACATGAACAGTTACAAGAATTTGCAAATGACACCTGATCTTCTTTTCCTGTGTTGTTGTACACTACAACTAGGAACTTCAAGCAAGGTCCAATGTCACAGAGTTTTTCTGTTGACACTGAACCAGACTTAATTTTGTCAAGTTTGGTATTATTCTAGAGATCTTATTATCATTGAATTTGAATAAAAGAGGTACAGGCAGTTCTAGAGTAAGCCCATGATTATCGCACTACAGCCCGACTCTCTCTCCACACCCCCCAACCACCCCCAAAAAAGAAACAACAAAGGAATAAACTGCCAAAAAAAAATTTGAGATTTGAGTCAGTTTGCTGTCTTCCCGAAAAAATTACCGGTCCTGGCATCCCAAATAAATGGGGTAACTGCTTTCTAGTTTTGTTATGGATTTTAAATTCAACAAACAGGAATATCAGGAATGCGAGTGTGGCTTTATAATTCAGCTGGAATTCGTAGCGTCTTCATATACAGAAAGATGGACCTCAATGTGTCTTTTTCTAAAACAACTGGAAAGATAAATTGAGGGACTTAGTGTGCTATGACAGCAGAACATATTTAGTTGAACCACTGGAACATTGAAGCCACAAAATGTTCAGCAAAACAGAGTTAGATGAAGAAGAAAATCACTCACCTTGAATTGTTGGAGGAAGATTCCCAAGACTTAAATTCTCAAACTCTATAGATTCTATCTGAAACTTCCCTATGTACTCTGCAAATATAGGTTGGGCCATGCTTCTTATTGTGCCACAAATTGCCTGTACATCAAACAATCTAAGCTTGCAACTTATCCACAAAACTTAAGCTTTATGAACTACAAAATTACCTCGTCAAGGTAAGGCCACATATCCAAAAGGAATTTGTTTACCCAGTCCACCTGTGCATACACATAAACACAAACCACACCCAATACAAATTAAAGGAACTGGAGAAGAACTTGGGAGTACAAAAAAATTCAAAAAATGACAAGAATTGTACGAGAGCTTGTATAGCAATACTTACTCGATCATAATCCGGATTCTTCACCCATAGTGGAATCTCAGGCATGATATCTTGTAATGAAGTTGTATCTAGCTCTTGAAGTGGCCTAACGACTGGATCCTGCAATTAATATTTCAAGCTTAGCATTCAAGATATAACCACTGATGGATGGAGGGAAGCGGGCAGGGGCAATCACCAAAGGTTTAGAAGATCCTTCTTCTTATACTATTTTTAGCTACAAAAACTCTCAAAACTATATAAGCTCGAGGACCCCCACCCTCTCTTCCCCCAAGTTTTTTCCCAAAGGTTTTGAGGCCACCCTCCAATGTTAAATTTTTTTATCAATGATTTGACGTAACATCCAGGCTCTTTTCTGGTGGTTTGTCTTGCTTCATTTATTTACTTCAAGGTAAGGAGTGAGGTTATTGCATAGGAATGTTTGGTCAACAGTTCTGGACTTCAAAGTAAAAGCACACGAGCATACTCAAAATTCACAAGAAATGCACACATGGGCAGACACACAAATGCTCACACATCCCAAGACAAGTTTTGATTTGTGTAACATATTATGAAGATAAAATCAAGGCACCTTGTTGACAGTGGGTTGATACTAAAAAGAATAAAACTTTCATTACATTCAAATCTCATTGCATGTAATGATTCCAAGTTCTTTCCATCAGCTGTGATTATGGATTCAATTTATGCAAGCAACTCAATCGGGAGATAAAGTTGTCCTCAATGCCAAAAAGTAACACAAACTGGGTTCATTCTTCTTCCGAAAATGTTCAACATAAAGTAAATCCAAATCTGAATAAACAAAAAGACTTCATATCATAAGTCAAAATTGGTCAAAAGCAATGAAGCATAGCGATTCAGTAGAATATCAATATGCCACAGGCTTTCATTACCTAACCTCACTAGATCCGATTACAATATTTTTTACTACAATATAAGAAAAAATAAAAAACTTAATTTGCTAACTGCAGAGGCGCTGTTGGAAAAATGGCATCGTTTTAAACGCAAAATGACGTCGTTCTATTTAGGAAAACGACATCATTTTGGCTAACAGCACCTCTGCTGTTACGGCAGAGGATCTGCAGCCCTACTTTTAACTGTCAACCTGCTAAAACCATGACTTAGAGGATACCTATTTTACTTGGCCTTCATCAAGCTTCTATAATTTGCAGAAAGTAGAATCAAAACCACAATCAGATTAGAGGATACAATCCAAAGGATCACACAGAACAAATATAAAGAACATAAAAAACTAGTGAAAAAAAATATATCTTCAATTAAACAAAAATAGTTCGAAAATATTTACTGTAACTACGCCGGCAAATTTCATATAAGCGATAGAAACCCAAAAAGTAAAGACAAACACCATAAACACCCATATCAAGCAATGCACAAAATTTTAACAATGAATTCAAACAAGAACTAAAAGTCACAGCCCAGTAAAAAGTCAAACTACCAGCAGGAAAACGATCAAGGGACCAACACATGAGAGAACGAAGACAAAGAAGATACCTATATAGATCATATATATTATAAACTGCACTCATCAATCAGATGTTTCAAGTTTTATTTCAAAGTTCAATGATCAAATAAGAACAAGAATATTCCATGTATATCATTACCTCTGAATCTTTGGGCTTAGAGTAAACGAAGAAGTAAAACCCAATAAAAAGACCAATTGGGATTCCAAATCCAAAACCAAGGAGTCCCAGAAAAGTGCTCAAGAAACCCATGTGTCCTCAACTCCAAGAACCAATGCAGATCAATGGAGAACTCTGGAAAGAGAGAGAGAAGGAAAAGAATAGAGAGTTTGTTTTCCAGGAGGAGACTGGCGATGAAGTCTATAAAGAAAACTTAACTCCTGAACATAACGAAGCACTTCTCAGATGAAACCGCCAAAACAAAGACACGTAATTCTATACTTCCTTCAAAAATACTCTCCTCGGAAAGCTATGTGCTCTGCATTCGGGTCACCAACGTTAAACGTTTTAATAAACGGAATGACACTATTATCCCTCTTTTCTTTATTTAATTTTTTTTACACCGTCAATTTTCAACCTATTTTCGGTCGAGAATAATTTGTCAAATATAACTAGAAAAAATTCACTAGCTAATAAAAAAAATATTAAAATTCAAGACTAAATTAATATATAAAACAATCAAACTAGTTTTAATTTACTTAAATAAAAGCTGAATAAAAAATAAGACTAAATATATAATTTTTAAGAAAAAAATAGAAGGGACAATTACAAAAAATTGAAAAAAATTATGGTAAAAAATATGACATAAATGAAAAAGATCCAAAATTGGGGGGCACCTTGTCCTAATGTGGCTACGCCCTGTTGTCACCCACGACTCATTAGACCCAGATTTTCCGAAATATTATTTTTTTATTTTTTTTCTGTTTTGTATCGAAGACACTTGTATGCATGCAAACCAAAAGGAATAGAAGGTAATCAGTGACAGTTAAATTGAAAAATAAAGAGAGAGAATTAAATACTTAAGAACCCTAATCCAAAGTCAGTTATTCTAACTTAATGACCATTGCCTTGGCCAACTCACCAACATTCAAATTTTTTTTTTCATTGTTTCAACAACTCGTCCTTCGAATTCATGGTTGTAAAATAAAATTCTAATGCATAAACATGAGTTTTATGTGATGAGAAAAATTATAATTCAAAACGTATAAATTTATTAGTAATAACCCATATTTAAAAGTGCTTTAAAATTTTTTTAAAAAAATTAATTTGAAATAATTTTTCTTTTATTTATTTTAATAAAAAAAATTAAAATCAATATAACCCCGTTACAGTGTTTTTTCTGACATCAATCGCATCATTGCCGAGCATAAAATCTTTTAATCTCCCGACACAAACCCGTCAATCTTAGCTATCTACAAAATTACTTTATTGTTGATTTAGTTTTCCCCCAGATAAGCCGGCCGGCTAACTATGAAATTTGGAAGTGGATCGGTTCAACAACCAGGTCCCACAATTCCCCAAGAATATATTATATTTATGTAGAGTATTAATTACATATTAATAAAAAAATTATCAATATAATCTAGTTATTCATGATTTTATTTATAAACAATGTTATTGGGACCTAATTTGATAACCTAATTCAACCTTTGGATTGACGATAAATTCCATCAAACATTAGAATTTTGTGTTGATCCAATCATTCCTATGAAGCCACCTCATTATGTCAACAAATTAAGTCAGATTTTTAGATTCAAATAACATTATTCTTTATTTATTTAGTGGGCAAAAATAATAAATATAACATAATACAGTTGAACTATATTATAATATCATCTCTTCAGGTGATAAAAAAATTGACTCAATAGTACGGATAGAACGTATTATATATGAAATAAGTCTATATATATAATACAAAATATTTTTAACAGTCAAACGTAATATAAAATTAAATTAAAAAAATTTAATTTATTATGACTAGTTAATCCACACATTAATAGTACAGCTAAACCACCTTTTAGATTATTGGATTTTGTATGAAGCTTCCAAGTGTTGTTTGTGGCGACCAGAACAAGAAAATTGAAGGCTGTTTGTGAGTTGTCTTGCAAAATAAATGCATGGTTGGCAGGATATACCTAGAAATATGCTGACATATGCTCATTTATTTTTATTTTTAAGAAAATTAAATTAAAAAATTTAATGCATTTAAACTATGCTTCTTACCTATTTTTTGGTGATTTCCTTGAGATCGCTTTACTTGCTTGCCATTTGTCAAGATGAGTTTCGAGCAGACCAACTGGTCATGATTGGTTGGTTTGTAAGGAGGAAGAAAAGGTTGATTGGAACTTCTTTAATATATTTTTCGATTATTATTATTTTTTTTTTGTGTGTCAAATATCAATTTTCAAGTTCTAAACTTCTATCCATTGAAAAAAACAAAATTCTAAGCTTCTAGAAAACATAGACTGATTTTCAATTGTATAGCACAAATCATATATATGTTTTTTCATCGGTCTTGCTAGAACCAGAGACCAAAGCCATTGATGCACTTTTTTTTTTTTCCTTCTAGTCCAAGAATAACTTAGATATTTTGATACAGAGTGCATAATTTTCTTTAATTGGCGGGAGGAAATATAACTTATTTCGTTGGTAAGGGCATAATTGAGGGTTATGTTTTGAAATTTTGTCCTAAAAATATAATACTAATGGGCTTTGAAAAACACCCTACTTGCACATTAAAGAAAGGTCTTCCTAAAGAATTATGGGTTGAGTCTAGATATGATATTGTTGACTATGTTTATTTGTGCTATTTCAAAGTCATAGCAAAAACAATTGTCAAATGGGTTTGTTAAAAGGATTTAGAAAATAACTGCAGTAGCTCATACTTTTGGCAATTAACTGTAAAATTAATTTCTATTCTTTTGGTAAGTAAAAATAATTAAAACTATATAGTGTACAATGCTAGCTCTATATCAATTTGAGTATGCATTCTCTAAATTTTTTGTAATGTTAGATTACTTAGTATGTGTTGATGAGAGGCCTACTTATACACTGAATCTCACTTGAATTCATAATGATTAAAAATTGCTATCAATGGATAAGATATTCATTTATATATAATAAATTTATATTTATGTTTATATTTATTTATACAACGTATAAATATCAGCATATGTAAAACAAAGTTAATTTCATATTTCATCTCTATTTAATAATATTAAGTGAATCATACCCCTCATATCTTTATTAATGTCATCATTTTCCCTTCTATGTCCTATCAAAAACTCTTCTTATCATATAATATAAGGTCTCTAACCATTCTCTCTACTAATTCTTTTAGCTTTAGGTCTTTAATTACAATAATATCTCTAATAACTCAAATTACTGTATAATACATGTATAGATTAATAACTAGGTTGAGTAAAAATTAAAATAAGAATTAATTATTCGACACATAATATATTTATTCAATTCAATTACACATATAATCCCTATTTTTTATAAGTTTAACAAAAAAATATTATTTAAATATGTTCACGTACAACGTAAAATGTATATTACTTCCATAATTTTTATAAAATCAATTACATCCTTATACTTTCATATAATTTTTGTTTTTAAACAAAATTTGACTTTCAAGTTCTTTTGAATTATTTTATAAATATTATTTGATTTCTAAGTTCTTTTGGACTCCTTTATAAATAGTACACTAATATAAATTTTTTCATATATATGCCTATATCTATACAAAAAAACAAAAACAAATCTATATTATATTGTTATATACATATTGTTATCAAATTAGATTCTAAGATCAAATATATGTTACATTTAATTTTTTTTAATAATTAAGTTTAACAAGAAATAAAATATAGATTATTTTTTGATACAAAATTTATCATTTAATTTAATTACACATAAAATTTATATTTTTATAGATTCAAAAAAATTATTATTTAAATTATTGACGTGCAACGCACATCGCGCATTACAAGTTCTTCATTTTCGATACCCTATAAAGTTTTTTTTTTTTTTTTAAAAAACTTCCAGAAGATTGTTGAGTGTCTTTCTCTCGACAGATTTAAAATAGGGTGGGGTCCAATAAATCTACCCAACGATTTCAAATAAATTCATCCGATAATATCAAATAGATTTATCCAACAACCACCAATATTTCTCTCAAAATCATTCACATTATATCGTGTCTTTAAATACAGATTACCTCTAGTTCAAAGATGAATTAAAACAACACCAGTTGTGGACGCTTGAAATGAGCTTGGTCTTTATACTTTATAATCCCACTTGTGATAACTCATGCCTGAAACTACGATAGAACATAAAATTCAAGAGTCTAAAATATCGATCTCATTATATTAAATATTAATTTTTTTTTCTTATTTTTTAATTAATTACATAATTTAAAATTAATTTAAACCAATTTTTATATAAAAAAATTAACAAAATTCTCTCAAAATACACGATTTCAAAAATATCAATATGTATATAGTATCGTACATAAACAATCTCTAAATTAAATAATTTAATTTATTATAAAAATAAGCGATGTGATATAAATTAAATTAGTTAGAAACATATCTGAGAATAATATTCAAAGTGTTAGCTAACCTATTATATATATTAAACAATTTATCCTAGTGTTATGTTATGTTTGGTACGATGAAAAATGAAATAATGAAAAGTTAAAAGGATAAAAATTTAGAAAGATAAATAAAACATCATATATGACAAGAAAATAAAATAAAAAAGTAGATGATTTTTTTTTTTTTTTGATATTAAAAAGTGGATGGATTAGTTTTTTTTTTTCCAACTTACAAAAATCAATCCTTCCAAAATTGAGAGGAAATGTGAATGAAAAGTAAATTATGTGTATTGAAATGTATGTTATTTATCTATCAATCCTTTAATATATGCATATATCATATTCGTATATTACATATTATGTATACATGAAAATTATATACAGATATAACAATAAAATACGTATTTATACTTTTTATAGCCTTCCACTTTACCAACTAATCAAACACAACAAAATCAATTCTTCTTACTTTTCATCCTTCCTACTAAACATAAAAGAGAGAAGAAATGATTCATCTCTTAAAGAATAGACAATGTATTACTCTTATTTTTTATCTTTCCATTTTTTTATTCACCCAACCAAACACATCATTATGTTCTATACTATACAAAAGGATTAGACATATTTGGATTTTTGCCCCTTGTTTGTAATG